ACCCGTGGATGACATCGAAGCCTACCTGTCATCCTTTGAGCGGGCAGCCGAATCATGCCAGTGGCCAAGAGGAGAGTGGATGAGCCGCCTTATGCCAGCTCTTGGAAAAGCCCAGCCACCCCATAATGGCTCGGATGCCAGAAGTAGCAGGAATGAGCACAGAAAGTCCAAATCTTCCGGCCTGCGAGGGGAATCAGGTGCCAATGTAGAAATGCAACGGCAGCGTTTCCGGCAGTTCCGTTACCAGGATTCCGAAGGCCCCCGGGAGGCTTGTCGGAGGCTCCGGGAACTTTGCCGACGTTGGCTGAAGCCGGAGAGCCGCACAAAGGAGCAGATTCTGGAACTGCTGATCCTGGAGCAGTTCCTGACCATCTTGCCCCAAGAGATCCAGAACTGGGTGTGGGAACGAGGCCCTGAGACCTGCGCCCAAGCAGTGGCTTTAGTGGAAGGATACCAGATGGGACGGCGAGAGGCAGGGATGTGGGAGCAGCAGGTAAGGGAACGGTTAATCATCTTGATTCTAAGGGATACATTGTGATGAAAACTTCTAACATCCTTAGCACTCCAATATATGTTTTCTCATTCCACTCCCCCTCCACAACCCCGCATCCACCCACCCACAAGGCAAAAGAGAATTGTATCAGTGTTTTAATGATTGAATCAGTGTTTCATGGATATAAAAATAGCCAAATGCAACTTGCAATATAAATGGGGAGGAAAAAGCTCAGTCAAGAATAGAGGAAGGATGATACACAGGTAAAAGTTTTTTTGAGTTGGCACATGATTTCAACAGAATTGTCTTTTTTTTTAATGTGCTGTTTATCAATTACTTTTTAATTAGGCTTTAAAACTTTTCCTGTTTTTTATACAAAGAGGGCAGAAAAGATTGGGTCACACGACAGGCTTCCTCATTATTAACAAATGAATCTGCATTCAGACGACCTCGTTTCTTCCTGATTTACCCAGGTTGGAAATGGCTGTTCATTGATTGTGGAGGGCGTCTTTGTATGGAAGCAAGCAAGCAAGGGGATTTTGGTGGGAAGCAGCATATCCAAATGTCTTGGATGGCAGCTCTCACGGCCTCTTGCTGTTAGCCATGTTGGTTAGAACTGATGAGAGCTGAAATCCAAAGCCTTCAGAAGACCCCGGGCTTTTGGCTACTCCAATGAATAGAGTGCTAGCTAAGATGTCAGAGTTGCAAGAAACACCCCCAACAAAAGAAGACTCCAAGGCTTGAATTTCCTCAAAGTTCCATTTTATTAGAGATGTCATATTGGCATATCTGGGAAAACCCGAATCTGAAATCTTCCAAGTTTTCCTCACTCAAATGAAAGTCCAAGTCCCTGCCCAGCACCCACAAGTCCATCACAAGGTCCAATCAATGCCCCATCCCAACTGGAGATGCCTCCCAGTCACGCCACTCCAGGTGCAGGGCAAGATGTCCTTGACTCTCTGAGAAAAGAATGTTATTTTGACTATATATCTCCCATACTCAATGGTGGGATTCAAATAATTTAACAACTGGTTCTCTGCCCTAATGATTTCTTTCAACAACTAGTTCACCAAACTGCTCAGAAAGCTAACATCCGGTTCTCCCGAAGTGGTGCGAACTGGCTGAATCCCACCACTGGCCATTCTCCATATAATCCCCCCTCCCATTTCCTCACAGCATTAAATGTGGCAGGCCTGAAGGCCCAATGCAAAAGATGGCTTCCAGGCCTGACGTAAGGTGGACTTGCTATCAGATCAATCTGTATTCTTTTGAAAAGTTTTTGGAATGGGAATTGCAAAACTACTATGGGCACTTGAATGGCTGATTAATTATTCTATTTTAGATTCAAGGCTTAAACAAATAAATGGAATGGGTAGATTAGTGTAAGTTCTTAGTGACCCACTGTTGTCCCTTGTTGCTAGGTTACAGTGCGGGTCAAGGTTGAACAGGTAAGCCCACAGGAAATGATTTTACCTGGAGCACCGTGGGATCCTTCAGCCTCGCTGCTTCCCCATCCTGAGTACCTATCCTCATCCGATCTAACACTAAACCAGCCTGTCCCAGGCCCAGCTCTCAAGATGCCCTGCATCCCAAAACAGGAACCACAGGGCCTTCAGGAAACAGGTAAGAAGGAAGAGAGAATCAGGAATGTTCTAGGAATTTTTCCTGCCAAAGGGAATCAATTGCCACAAGAAAAACAAATCAATGATAATTTTTTTGGGAAGTTTTGTCTATAACAGATGAGGAATTATCCAACTCCCATTATCTCCAGCCAGTGGAGTTGGAACAGGAATTTGTAATCCAGCAATATTTGGAAGACAGTTGAGCTAAGAAATTCATACAGTTTTTTAAAAAAAATAAATCTATGGAACGATTGGCTATCAGAGAATATGAATATTCATTTTAGAATTCTAAATGTTTTGCTTCCATTTAGTGGGCATCCAGATGTTTGCAGTAAAAATTGGTGCCTCTGTGCAAACTATGTTATTTAATAGTAAATATGATTTCAAAAATATTTCCGTTTCTCCAGTCCACATTTTTAGGGGACAGCAATTTGATGAAGGTAAAAGAGAGAATATAATTTCCTTATCTATCTATCTATCTCTTATCTATCTGAGCATTTTTACTTCACTCATTAGAGCAGATTACATGACCATTCTAAACATGATATTCTTTGCCCAGATGTTTGGGGGGAAAGAGCTGACTTGGAAAAAGAAAATAAATCTTAAAATTGAATTTCTTCCAGTAATACAGCACTTTTTCTTTTTGTGCCTTTGAGTCACAATGATTTTTAGCAAATGTCTAGATGGGTCCTACAGTTTTCCTGTCAAGGTTTTTTAGAAGTGGTTTGCCATTCCCTGCTTTCTAGGCAAAGAGAGAAAGCCAGGCCCAGACAGATTCAAGCCTAAGGCAGGAATAAAAACTGTTAAACCACTGCAAAATGTAAATGATTTTGTATCTAAATCTTATCTCATTTGATTTCATTTGTGTGTGTTGCATTTGAGAGAGAAATACATCTTTCGTTTGAAGTCTCTCTCTGTTTGATGCATTCCAGAGGAGCTGAACTTCTATCCCAAATAAAAGGAGAATATATGTCAGTCATGCTTTCTGTAGGAGCTCCCATTGACTGACAACAGAGGGCAGTGATTTGAGATACAACTCAAAACAATACATATTATTCGAGCTAACTAAAGTGATTGTAGGATTAGAAAGATGAAAGGTGTTGCTCCATTAATGCAGCCTGATAACTGGCTCCTACCAGATATCACGTGTTAAACTCCAGTAATTCCCATTTCCAGGACTTTTAATTGGGCCGAACTGTTTCTCCTCCAATTAACTGCCTCAGGCTTTTTCAAAGGTGCTTTTTCAAAAGGCAATTGGACTGTTTTTTCCTTGTGGAGGAAGAAGAAGATATTTTCCTTCTCATCCAAGAAGCTTCATGGGTTCTGGTAGGATATTGGGGGCAAAAGTCCAGAATTTGGCCTTTCTGGAAAGAGAGGACACATTGGTTTGTTCACTTTCTGGATAAAGAGTACCATTGGTTTGAAAGAGGTGTAAAAAAGGCCATTTATGTTAACATTTAGCAGTTCTTCCTCAACAGAGGGAGAGGAATAGGACACCACACAGTCCTTTCAGCAGCTCCAAGAAGATTCCATCCCCATTTTCCCTCTGATACAGGTGACCCTGAGAGCACAGATAAACTCATAAGTGGCCTCAAGAGCTCTCAGGGACAGTGATAACAACCAGAGGACTGCAAAGAAATATAACACTTCCAACCCACCCCCCATCCGACCCTATTCTGTCAGATCTAATTTTTCTGTCATCCTCACCCACTTGCTGAACTCATGAAGCTTCTTGGATGAGAAGCAAAATGCTTTAAAGTCTAAAAACAAAGTCTAGCTGTCTTTTGAAAAAGCACCTTTGAAACAACTATGACCTGGATGACTGAGAATCTCCCAAGAAGTTCATTAACAGTGTAATGTAAATTTATCTGATTTCCAATTCCTGTATCTATGGGCAAACTGGAATGCAGTTGTTTCATCCAAATCTACTGTTTTGAAACTTAATAATTACAATAGACATTGAATAGAACAAGTTTGAAACCTGAGAAAGGAAAAATTGAGCAAAATCAATCTTCTCTCCTTTTTATTCTACCAAACGTCAACTCTTTCTTGCATATAGTTAGCTGTTCCTGGTTTCTCTTTTTGGAACCAAATTTCTATATTTATTCTCTACTTATTGCTTTTCCAAATCCAACAATCATTGTTCCTACCTGGCCAATAATTAAAAGTGCCAAAGAATCTTCAACCAAGAACTAAATATTAATTTGTGGAAATTATTTTTAAAAAATGTTTACTTCTGTTTGTACTCTGTATAGATGCTCTGGAATAAAATAGGTCTTATCCTATACCAACTTATTTTTGATCAGCTATTAGTCTGACACACAACCAAAACTATGCCTATGTATGCAGATATCACCAGATGGAACATACAGGAACTAAATTGACTATATTTTTCATATAAAGAGGCGGAAGAGCTCAGTTGGAAGAACAAAGATGTGACCAGAAGCTAATCACAGAATAGATTCAGCTCAAGCTAAAGTGGAAGAACAAAGGCAGTCAGTTTTCAAAGTAAGATCTTAAACATTAGCATACCATTTTCAAAGACAACCTTGGGAGCTTTGAAGTCCTCAACCTCACTGATAAGAAACCAGAGATACTATAGAATTAAAAAGTTGTTATGGATGAATGTCAAAAACAACCGCCAAGGAGAGCAAATGGCTGAGGAAGTAAAAGTAACTGGAACTGTGGGAGGCAGAGACCATGCTGTCCTGGAATTTCAGATAGTGTGATGGTGAGAAACTGCAGTCATACCTCAGTATTAGACTTCATGGGAGAAAGCTTTGTTGGACTTAGGAAGACAGTAGGCAAGATCCATTTGATATTGTAAAGGACAAAAATGTCTAAGAAGATTGGGAGCTTCTGTAATAATGTGGTCTTGGAGGCAACAAATCCAAACAATTCATGCAAGAAGGAAAAATTAGAAAATCTGAACAGACAAAAGTGGATCTTCACAGAACGTAAAAAGGTCGCTTAAAAGAAAAAAGCAAATGTACAAGAAATGGAAAGAGAGGAGGAATATATCCTACAAAGAATACAAAGCAGTTTCCAAAAACTACAGATCTAGTGGGAGAAGAGCTAAATCCTAGTACAAAGTCAGACTAGCTAGGGATGCCAAAAACAACAAAAGTTTTCTTTTTTTAGGAAAGTCCCAAGCAAAAGGAAAGTGAAAGAGACAGGAGGTCTTCTGAAGAGAGAGAATGTTAAAATGATTAAGGAACAGGACAGAAGGCATAACTGAACTCTTATTTTGCATCTGTTTTCTCTCAGAAGTTGAATGAACCTTCGCTTGGCTCACACTGTGCCATTGGTGGGGGGAAATGAACTGAAGCTCAAGATAAACAAGGAGCAACTGAGGGAATTCCTAGTTAATCTTCAGAACCAATTGATTTATACCCTGGGGGAAGCATCTCCCCAATCTTTTTGTTTTGTTTTGTTTTGCAGTTTCATAGAAGACAATGTTTCCATTGGGGGAGGGGGAATGGATTCAGTTTCACTTGCTTACCTGCCACTCACCTCCTGCTGTGCAGGCCACAGATTGGTATTGGGGGTCCATGACCCGGGGTTGGGGGGCCCTCCCCTTGAAAATTAAAGAAACTAACAGAGATATTAGCAGAACCATTCTCTCTAATTTTGAGTACACCTGGAAAATAGACAAGGTCCCAGAAGACTGGAGAAGGATTAATGTTTTATTTATTTGTTTGTTTATTTATTTATTTATTTATTTGTTTGTTTAAAAGGAAGAAGCAGGGACCCAAGAAAATACAGGCCTATGAGCTTGACATTAATACTGGGCAAGATCCTTGAGCAGATTTATCAGGAAGCACATCTGAGTGCATAGATAGGAATTCATTAATTAATTGGAGCCAACATGAATTTATACTAAACAAGTCATACCAGATTAACAATCTACTTTTGACCGAATTACTGGTCTGGTTCAGAGTGGTATTCAGCAGGTTCTGACCAGTTCTGGAGAACTGGTAGTGGAAATTTTGAATAGTTTGGAGAACCGGTAAATACCACCTCTGACTGGCCCAGCCCTCATTTATTCTCTGCCTCCCAAGTTCCAGCTGATCAGGAGGGAATGGGGTGAGAATGTAAATTTTACAGTATACTTCCCCTGCCACCCCCACCAACTCACCTCCATAGAATCGGTGCTAAAAAAAAATGGAATCCCACCACTGGTCTGGTTGATTAGGGAATTGCTATGGATATAGTAGTATATCTTGACTTCAGCAAGACTTTTTGACAAAATCTCTCAGAGCATCCTTACCTACAAAATGGTCAAACATGAGTTCGACAACTCAACCACGAGGTGGATTCACAGTTGGCTCAAGGATCGTAACACTACTGGTAGTTCTAGATAGCATCAAATGTACCCCGGATAGACATTCTGAATGGATGCCACAGGACTGTGTCTTGGGCGGTTCCAGTGTTTTTATAAACGATGTGGAAGAGGAGTCCAAGGAATACTTACCAAATGTGCAGACGATACAAGGCTAAGAAGGATGGTCAATACATGGGAGGAGAAGGGAAAGAAACAGGAAGATTTAGTCAAGCTAGATAATGGCAGAAAGAAATAGAATGGAATTGAACACGGGGAAATGTAAAGTTAAAAAAAAAAGAAACAAACATGTAAAGGTAGTCCGCTTATCACCAATTGCTTAGCAACCATGGACTCTCCCAAAGATACAACTGATTCATAGTTCCAAACAGCTACTTCCCTTATCCACCCATGGTCACATTATCAAATTTTGGGTGCTTGGCAACTGGCCGCATTTACAGCCATTTGTAGGACCTAACAGTCATGTGATTTATGTTTTGTTTTGCTTTTTTGCTGGCAAAAAACCACCCATTTCTGACAATAGATTCGCTTTACAACTGCCAGATTCGCTTTACGATCATCATAAAATCGGGTTGATCTGCCTCAACTTATGAACGTCATGACATACAAAGGATATTTCAGGCTCCCATTACAGTTGTTCGGTTGAGGACAATCTGCATAGGATGCGGACAATAATGAGTCACGAACAGCACATGTGAGAAGGAATTGGGTGTACTAGTGGATCATAAGCTTAGCCAATCTCAACAGTGTTATGCAGCTTGCAGAGAATACCAACATCTGGAAGAGCATCAAGAGGAGAATGGAGTTCAGATTGTAAAGAAGTAATTGTCCCAGTCTGTTATGCTTTTGGTCAGGCTTCACTTGGGGTATTGCATTCAGCTCTGTACATCCAGTTTTTTAAAAAAATGATAAACCGGAGCAAGTCCATAGAAGGGCTTCCAAGAAGGTTGAAAGGATTCTATAAGGAACAATTGGAAGACCTAGGTATGTTTAGTTTGAAGATGAGAAATAAATGAGGCAACATGATGTTGTATTCAACTTTCTAAAGGGCTGTCACATTACAGGGGATTTGTGGTGACGCAGTGCTTAGAATGCAGTTTTGGAGGCTAACTCTGCCCACTGCCATGAGTTTGATCCTGACTGGCTCAAGGTAGACTCAGCCTTCCAAGGTTGATAAAATGTGGATCCAGATTATTTGGGGGAATATATTGATTCTGTAAAGCACTTAAAGAGTGCTAAAAAGCACTTAAGTGCTATTGCTATTTGGGCTCGTTCTAACTTGCTCCAGAGGGTGAAACTATATCTAAAAGGATGAAACCTCAAGGATATATGCACATATTAGACATAAAGAAAAACTTGACAGCAAGATCTGTCAGTCAGTGGAATGAATTATTGCATGGAGTGGTCTTTTTCATTTGAGGTTTTCAAAGCAGAGGCTAGTTAATAATCTATTGGGGATGGTGTAGTAAATCCTGCAGTGTGCAGTAGGTTGGATGTGATGACCCTTTAGATCTCTTCCAACTCTACAATTCTATGACTCTAAGCTGAGGAACAACATACATTATTGCTAATGCATGCTGGATAATTGAGAAAGCCAAAGAATACCAAAAATAAATCAATACATGCTTCATTGAATATAGAAATGGCATGGATTGTGTCAACCATGTCAAATTGTGGCATGTTTTTAGGAAAGCAACAATCTTAGAATGTCTCATTGTTTTCTTGCAAAACCTCCTACACAGCACAGGAAGACATAATCTGGATGGAACTTGGTGGAAGTTTGGAAGGAGTAAGACAAGGTTGTATACTCTTTCCTTATTTCTTCAAAATATGGTGTCCCCAAAATAAGACCCAACCAGAAAATAAGCCCTAGTCTGATTTTAGTGTGTTCCTAATAAGCTCTACCCAATAAATAAGCTCTAAGTTAAGATTGTTATCAGTCGGCGGGGTGGCCAGCACCAGAGGTGTCAAAGCCACGGGGGTGGATGCTGTCCATCAGTAGCTACAGCCCAGGTGAGTTAATTACCTGTTCAAGCAGCAGTCAGGGGTGAGGGGGAGGTGGTTCAGATACACTGCGGGGGCCAGGGGAAAGCCAAAGTTGGTGGGCAGCTGCAGGAGGCTTGTCTTCATGCAGCAGTACCGACAGATGGAGACAGAGGTGCAGAGGGGGAGGCAGGTGCTCCAAATGTGCCATGTGGACTGCGGAAAAGCCGAGAGTCAATATAACACGTGCTAATAGCAGAACAAGATTTTTGTTGAGGTTGTAAAGGTCCAAATTAACTGCCCAGCTTCAACATTTCTAAAACGATAAAATAGAAACTATCAATTTGCAAACAGAAGTTACAAGAACTGAGACAGCTTGTAGTAAATGTACAAAGGAGAGCATACAGGTAGTCCTCAAATTATAGCCATCATTGAAGCTGGCAGTTACGGTCATAAGTCATGATGGTTGTAAAGCATCTGTGACCAGATCCAGTTTTACAATATTTTTTGTTGGGGTTGTTTGGTGAACGTCACAGCTGTTACGTGGATCCATTGTTATCTGTCAAGCATTTCTTGCTGGAAACCAGAAGTAAATGCTGGTTTACAGCAGACCCTCATAAATCAGCCATCTGACCACAATGCACTGCAAGAGCTGTAAATGCAGACTGGTTGAGAAGCACCCAAAATGCAGCCGCATGTTGGCAGGAAAGCACAATGTCAGAACTTCAAAACTAGATCACCTGTAGCTTTTGGGGGTCTGGTACAACTTCAACTGGTCACTAAACAATCGGTTATAAGTTGAAGACTACTTGTGCCTGTTTGTCTTATGTTGATAGCTGCATGTTGTCAGACTCATCTGCCCATTATGAAAGACTTTTCTTTTTCTTTTTTTCTTGACAGGCTCCCTACTGGCCAATGGAAACCGAGAGGAGCACTCTTTGCCCGGAGGCACGATGGAAATGGGATTGCTACCTGGCAATTCCCGGGAGAAAGTGTTGGGTGAGAATTGTGGTGAACGGATGGGTCAACAATTTGAAGTGAGATGTGGAGACACAAGAGAGAATCCAGTTGCACACCCCAACTCTTTTGGACGCTCTCACCCAGCGGGAAAGTCCCTTCACCAGTGTTCACAGTGCGGGAAAACATTTAGCCGTAACTCACATCTGCTCACCCACCTAAGGATCCATACTGGGGAGAAGCCCCACCAGTG